CAAACAAACAAACAAACAAACAAACAAACAAACAAACAAACAAACAAGACTTGGATAAAATTAAAATAAGTTTTACACAAATGCACCATGCACTATATGGTAAAGAGATGTCTCAAGGGAATAGTATTTGAGCATATGCATACATTTTTATTGTTTCAGCCTTGCATCCACATGGAAATAGTTTTAGGGGCCCCAAATGGTAATAAAAAAAGGGTTAACTTGGTTTTGTATGGACAGCCAAAACACAATCTTTGAGAATGATGTTGACATAGCCCCACCTCTAATCTAACCTACGACCTGAAAGAAAATCTGTTTCTTCTAGTTACCATACCATACCATACCACTTTATTTATAAAGCACTTAAAACAGCGACAAGGCCAACCAAAGTGCTGAGTTGTGTTTACATATTGCACACAGAGTGAAAGCTTTATGCCCATGCTCTACAACTTGTTTCCTGTTTTTGGTGTACATTGGTAGCAGCATTACAGTGCCATATACAGGCCTGGCATGGTGACTGTAGCGCTTTCGTTTTTTTTTGGTGTGTTTCTGTGCGGATGATGACACGTCTAGAAATAATGTAGTGTTTACAAGAATATTTTTAGAAACAAAAATACAAAGATTGTTTTGGAAAAACTACATTTCCATGTGGACAAATCAGGAGTCCCATACTATCAGGTTTAATCCACGTTTAACCAGTAAAGATCATCGTTTGACAGCAATGTTGCATTGCCCAAGGACTTTTCAACATGATGGGCCAGAAAAACGCCTTTCCTTGAAAACAATTACACCCTCACCCCTCCCTCCACAAGTCCTTCTCAATTTGATAGGCTGAATTCCCCCACAGGCAGTTGCAAAGGAGAGCAGTGAATTCAGTTCCATGGAAGCTAATGTGATATGAAGTTGTCAAAACACATATTTTCTTTCTTTCTTTTTTTGTTCAAACAGAGTGAATACACCGGGAACACAAAGCAGGTGAAAGGCAATGGTTTGAATAAGATCCCTCATTCTTCAGCAGTAAGGAAATGGGATCAAATGAATGATGAGCAGGACATCCAGGACTTAAGATCCTGCATTGTCTGAAATGGCTTTTTAAACATCTTCCATTATCCAGTCCTGTCTTTGAAACTTGAGCTCCTGGATGAGCACATCATTCGCACGCTGCATGTAAAAAAAAAAAAATCAGAAAAAAAGTTCCAGGAAGCTAAAGTCAGTTGAACCTGAATAGAATATTTGTTTTGTTTTGTACACAACTATCCAAACCAGTCTGATGGCAATTTGTATTAGCTATTACACCTGACACATAACAGCTAGCAAAACAGTTGGAAATTCCTCTTTCTATTTGAAACTTCAGCATCATCTTTGAACATTTCACCCTTTTCTTAAATGTCAGGTTCATGATTAAGATAGGAGAAAGCATGTACGTTCTGCATCATGTCCTGAAACGACAGTCACTGTTGGGACAGGCCACACTAAGAGTGAGTAAATGCCTCACTGAAAGGGGAATCTCCCTTTCTGAACAATGCAACACTCATTAGTTCTTCAAACAGCCTTTAAAAGGGCCCTCTTCTATCAAAAGGTAGATAAAGCAGCTGTTTTTGTACCACAGCAATAGAAAGTTACTCTACTTTTCTGTCTATCTATTTGTACATACATCTGTTACATATTATGAACAGTCCATCCAGGTGGGAGACAACAAAGACACAATGGTGCAGGTAAATCTTAACTCTATTCTGGTTTCCTAATCTCTTCATTCTAAAATTCACTTTGATTTGCGAGGAAGCCCAAAGCTTGAGTAAACAGCCAATCCCAAGAAAAGACAGGGAAACATTCAGTCAACTCTTTGGTCTTCCCAGTTTGTTTAAGGAGGTCTACCTATTTTTTCAACCCAAGGTAAATTAAAAAGAAAATCACTTGATTGGCAGACTCTAGTGTCCTCTGTAGTCCTCTTTGTGAAATGGTTTATTTGGGGGGCCTGTAAGAATTTGCCCCTTTTCTTTATCCCTCTGCTAGCTTAACTACACAGATGTTCCAACACAAAGATCAGATTGACTTACACATGCATGAAAACATACTATCACCCAGTGTCGACAGATGTTTCAGATCATTAAAGCCGGATACTAGAACAAGACAAAGACAGAGATTCCTTTGTGTTTAGTTGTATTTGCTCACAAAAAGGAAATAGTTTCTTAAAATTTTATTATTTACTTTGCTATAAGTTTATCCTGTTTGTTCCATTTTCTCTTTAAACATCTATCTTTTGCAGTCTATTGTATACAGAGTTGCATTTGGGTCCAAAAAATCTGACCCAACCCGGCCCCAGCCCATAGCCATCATGTCCGAACCCCACCCAATCCGCCGAAATAACAGTAATTACAGGTCCGAACCCGAAACCCCCCATTCCGACATTTTTAATTAAGCTTTGACTGCTTAAAAAGTTATTACCAGTTGGCGGACGCGTGTGGCTCAGTAAAAGGGGTAGAAGATCGGAGGTGAGGGGGTGTTTGTCCTTTCATGGTCACCAAAGTGCATTAAATCCCTGATTCTGCCTGCAGTAGACGCTGCTCTGACATGTCAGATATTTTGTGATCTCACCTGTTTGGGTCATCAACCGCGCACGTCCGCTGAGTGCAGTGGCTAAATGAACGCACATTTGGGCTGATGGATCGCTGGCAGTAGTCCATTTGAAGCTTAACTGAACTTTTTACCTCTTTCAAGGCCGGTCAGCGTGCGGTCAAATGGCTGCGTGCGGCTGGTGATTATATGGCAAGCCATGTTGCCATATAATTGGATCGTCAGCCGCTCGCGTCTGCTGATGCAATCAAAAGCCTGACACTGACCCGGCTCACACGTTAAACACATTATTATGGACCGGTCTGGGTCGGGCGGGGCCGGGCTCCAGGTTCGGGTTAGAAACGACAGCTTTAACTGTATGCACTGTAAACCTGCCACAATAGTTATTTAAAATGTTTGCAATGTTAATCACAATCATATATATTCCACAATGCATATGATACTCCATATCATATCATCATTTTATTCATTTTCTGTAAGCACTCAACATAAAAAAAAGAGTTATGAGCTAATGATTATTATGTAAATATTTCGAAAGTAACATAAAACTGCACAGAAATAGATGAACTCTTAACTGGAAACATTTATACAACAAATTACAAATTTCACACTCCTGACAGCCCTGAATGTGGACTCGAGCAGTGCAGTGTACACACAATACATAGGCGTGTTTATCGTTTTCGAATCCACATAAAGCAAAAAGTTCATTCTTACTTTGTCTTTTCCTTCTCAGTTCCTCACCAGCTTCACTAAGGACACAAGATCCGTGCTGACGGCTCAACCTGCTAACCTGTGTGACCTGTCTACACTTCCCCCCCTGGAGTGGGTCATCTCTGACAAGAGGAAGTGACATGGTCAGGGAGGTGAAAGGTCGTCTCAGATGATGCATTTGAAATACGAGTGAACAAGATAGATGGTGACAGCTGCAGACCATGTGACATGGAATTTTTTGAACAAGTAAAACACAGCTCGTCAAGCCGTTGTGGCATCTTTAAGTACGTCAACAAAGCTCATTTCTAGATGTAATACATGATAAAACTATTTAGGGCAACAACCAGAAAATGTTGGAGTGCCATGTAGGGTTTATTGTGATATTGGCAGATGATCATTTGGGTCGTAGCTTGTTCTGGTGCCTCCTGCTAATGTTCAACATAATTGGAGGGCTGGTTTACGGTTGTTTTATCATGCCTCCCGAGCAATTTCTGAGTCAGCAAACACTAAGTGAAGTTCTCTGCTCAGTCTGTAACAATATGAAATTAGGTGGCACATTGATGCCAGAAACCAAGGCTTTTTAAAATCTCATTTTAAAAAGAACATTATACATGAACTCAGTCTTCGTGTTATGGCTGATCAACATGTATTTCCTTAGAAGATGATATTAATCAGAATCTTTTCATCAAAATCTATAAGCAAATATTTGGTTCACTCTTTTTAAAGCTGTGAAAGCAACTTCCATCCATCCATCCATCCATCCATCCATCCATCCATCCATCCATCCCTGCTTCTTCTTTTATGGGCCGTGGGGGGTCACTGGTGCCCATCTCCAGCAGTCACTGTGTGAGAAGCGGGGGGCACTCTGGGAAGGTCGCAAGTCCATCACATGTCCACATAGAGACAAACGAGACAAACAACCATTCACTCTCTCTCTCATACCTGGGGACAATTGTCACCAATCAGCCTAAAATGCACAACTTCATAACAAAAAATGTGCCAAATAATGAATCACCTTTTAAAATTTTGTTTAAATTAAAGCCATTGTTTTTTTAGGCATTTTCTTCTATTCATTCATTCATTCATTCAAACTTTATTTATACAGGTTAATCCCACTGAGCCTCAGGACTCATTTACAAGAGAGACCTGATTTCTTTAACAAAGAGTGATGACAACAGTGGATAACAACGAGAATAGACAATCATAAAAGAGGCATCCAAATTATTATTATTATGTTTTTTACAAATTAAAATAAAATGGCAACCAAAAGGACAGTCAAAAGGAAAGAGTTGCAAAAAAAAAAAAAAACCAGCTAGATTATAAGGCAGTGTA